AGAAATACATTTTAAAGCCCATAGATAGTGATTACTTTAATGGATCTGGGTAAACGTACTGAAAACCTTCTGGAAAGGAGGCACCATTTAGATGCCATTAAGAACATTTGTGGGCTCGGCGCCTGTGGCTCAAGCGGCTAAGGCGCCAGCCACGTACACCTAAGGTGGCGGGTTCGAATCCCCAGCCCGGGCCCGCCAAACAACAATGATGGCTGCAACCAAAAAATGGCCAGGCGTTGTGGCGGGCGCCTGTGGTCCCAGCTACTTGGGAGGCAGAGGCAGGAGACTCGCTTGAGCCCAGGAGTTGGAGGTTGCTGTGAGCGCGATGCCATGGCACTCTACCCAGGGGGATAGCTTGAGGCTCCGTCTCAAAAAAAAAAAAAAAAAAAAGAACATTTGTGATTTATGGGAGGAGGTCAAAATATCAGTATTAACAGAAGTTTGAAAGAAGTTAATTCCATTCCTCCTGGATATCTTCAGGCAGTTTAAGACTTCAATGGAGGAAGTCATTACAGATATAGGAGAAATGGCCAGAGAACTAGAATTAGAAGTGGAGCCTGAAGATGTGACTGAATTGCTGTACTCTCATGACCAAACTTTGAATGGATGAAGAGTTGCTTATGGATGAGCAAAGAAAGTGTTACCTTGAGATGGAATCGGCTCCTTATGAAGATGCTCTGAACATTGTTGAAATGACAACAAAGGGTTTAGAATATTCCATAAACTTAGTGATATAGCAATGGCAGAGTTTGAGAAGATTGACTCCAATTTTGAAAGACATTCTTGTATTGATAAAATGCTGTCAAACAGCATTGCATGCTACAGAGAAATCTTTCATGAAAGAGAGAGTCAATTGATGTGGTAAACTTCATTGTTGTCTTATTTTAAGAAATTGCAATGGTCATCCCACCCTTTAGTAACTGCCACCCTGATCAGTCAGCAGCCATCGACATTGAAGCAAGACCCTTCACTAGCAAAATGATTATAACTCATTGAAGGCAGATGATCATTAGCATTTTTAACAATAAAATATTTTAAAAGTAAGGTATGTGCATTGATTTTTTTCAGACATATTAAGTGCTATCATACACTTAACAGACTATAGTATAGTATAAATATGACAATATGCACCAAGAAACCAAAAAATTGTATGACTCACTTTATTGGGCTAATTTGGAACCAAACTCAGAGTGCCTCCGAGCTCTGCCTCTACAGTGGGAAGGTGTCAGAGGGTTTTAATTGCAAGAATGATATGAATTAATCTAAATTTTGAAAAGATATTTGGCCTGCAGTGTAGGAGATAAGATCCCTTTTTCTACCTGTCCAAAGCCTGAGTATTTCCAAGTCTCAGCAACTCTTTGGATTCTGAAAGTTCCGGTTTACTAACCTCAAGGTCAGTTGAACAGATGCTCCACTAACAACTTAAACAGGTCCTCGGTCCAGCCGTGGTACCCTGCTCGCTGCGCCAGATCTCGGTGTTATGTTCTTTGGAGCTTCTGATGGGGACGCAGGGGAAAGAACTGCAGACAGAATGAATATTCAAGGGAGACCGGGACTCGCTCTGGTCAGCGGCCCAGCTAAACTTTACTGATTATCTTATATACTTTCCAACATTCAGTAAGAATTTAACACATATACAAAGAAGTCAAGTAACATTAGGAAGCAACCATTTAAGATTACAATTTAGTGTGAAGGCTGAGGAACACATATACAATTGATTTTGTTTAGAGTAAAACATTTTGGAGCCTGGCTGTCGGTTCTTGCTGGCCCAAAGTGAAGTTACACATTATAATGCTAATGAAGGAGGAAGACAGAGAATAGAACCCAATGCTCCAAGACCGGTCTGTCCATCCTCTAGATTACACCTCGGGCTGTTTCTCCACAGCCCCTAGGGAGAGTCACTCTGCGTATTCCTGCACATCAATAGGCAAGTACAGAAGCTCAGATCCTCAAGGAAATGCTTCTCAGAAACAATCTCCTGAAGGAGCACATTGAGGCGAACTGCCATGTCTTGAGCAAAGGGATCTTATCTCCTACACTGCAGGTTGGGAGCAAGGGGACAAGTTAGCAGGTTATAACAGTAGTTCACTCCAGAGCTGATGGGTGGCCTGGATTAAGATCAAGGCATTGAAAGTGATGAGGTATGGAGCAGCTTGACAGGACTGGCAGATAGAATCCACATGAGGAATGAGGGAGGGAGGATGCCGTATGCCAGGATGACCTCAAGGGTTTTGTCCTGAGTAACTAGACAGATGGTAGACTGCAAAACTGGTTTACCTTCCATGAGACAGGGAAACTGCAGGGACTGGCAGAAGAGTAGATTTTTAGTCAGAAGGGACTTGTGACATGTTAAGTTTGAGATCATTATAAGTCATCAAAATTTAAAGCCAATTAGCCAAAACTTTTATTTTTCAGGCATATTACTTGTTCTCTTTTGCCACTTTTACAACTTTTTTTCTCTTTTTACACCTAAACTTTGTAACATCAGAATCTTTGTATTTTACAGTTGTGATGTAAGGCTCTTCTGGCAGATGAATGGTAAATACACGCCCATTGAGATGCAGCTCCAATGCGAGGGCTTATCCTGTTTTCCAGCTTTCCTACCGACTTGTGTCACAAAACTTCACTCATGCTGTGCTGACTTGGCCTCAACATAAATGACTAATGAATATGAAAGCTCTCCCTTGGCAGAGTTTTTACTTAATTTTTGAGGGGGTTCTACTGTATTTACTGAAGATTTTCTAGAGTTTCTCTGGACCCTCAAATATGCTATATATGTAATAAATATTTACTCATTTTGAAATTTGGTTTTATTTAGTATCTTTATACTATGAAATTCACATACATATTTTACCTTATATACCTGGTTTTTCTAGAACGTTCAATACTTTTGATGTATTACGATTACTGTTATTTACACTATCTCTTGTAATATTGTTTTTTCCTTTGAATTAGTGGGTGGTAGAAGACAAAAACACTGTTTCCAGGATAGATAAGAAAATAAAAGTAGGTCCAGGAAGTAATGTTTTGTAAGTTTTAGTGCCTTTTTCTCCTTTCTTCCTGAAAGCTAATTAACCCAGTTTTATGTACCCTGGCAAATGCAAAATTTCCTAACTTTGGCTTCTTTTATGTTAGTTGTCTATTGCTGCATAAAAATCACTCCTACCAGAAGTTTAAAACTTCTACCATTTATCTCACAGGGTTCCTAAGGGTAGGAATTCATGAGTGGCTTAGCTGGATGGTCCTAGCCAAGGGTCTCCCTTGAGGCAGCAGTCAGGCTGTCAGCCATGGCTGCAGTCAGCTGGCGATTTGACTGAGGTTCGAAAGTTGTCTTCTCAGATGCCTCATTCACATGGATGTTGTCAAGTGACCTATTTCCTCACTGGCTTTTGACAGAAGGCCTGAGACTTTTTTTTTTTTTTAAGAGACAGAGTCTCACTTTATCACCCTTGGTAGAGTGCTGTGGCATCACAGCTCACAGCAACCTCTAGCTCTTAGGCTTAGGTGATTCTCTGACCTCAGCCTCCTGAATTGCTGGGACTAGAAGCGCCCACCAAAATGCCCGGCTATTTTTTTTGTTGTTGCAGTTTGGCCAGGGCTGGGTTCAAACCTACCACCCTCGGTATATGGGGCTAGCGCCCCACTCACTGAGCCACAGGCACCACCCAAGGCCTGAGGCTTTTTTCTCTCACCAGTTGGGCTTTTCCACAGGGCTGCTTGAGTGTCCTCATGTCATGGCAGTGTGCTTCTCGAGGGTGAGAGAGGTGGGGGTCAGAGGGTAGGGGGCTCCATTATTGACGCCAGCGGTTTCTTCCAAGCTCCTTCTCAAAGTTTTCTGGGTTTTGATAATTGATAGTTATTCCTCAAATGAGAAATGTTTATATACAGGTATCAAATTTATATCCTGCTTCTCTGTTTCTGTGATTTTGTGCTTCCAAAATAATTTTCCTTTCAGTGTGAAATCATAACTTAAAGACAATTTCAGTGGCGTTGTCTTAGAGTGTCCCAAATGTTGCCAAACATAGGAAAAATTGACAAACTCTATTATGTCTTATATTATGTTATATTTCATATTTTTATGTTTATATATGAACATGTAGAGAAATATTTTGTAAAATTTTATACTGAGTAGTTTGTACATAAAGTATATTTAACTACAATTTGCATTTTCCCTATGTATCTTTGTATGGCACCCCTGTAGTCTATTTCATGCAGCTATAACAGAATGCCACTGGCTGGGCAATTTATAAGGAACAATTATTTATTTCTCACAGGCCTAGAGGCTGGGAAGTTCAAGATCAAGGCATGGTATCTGATGAGGGTCTTCTTGCTGCATCCTCACATGGCACTAAGTGGATGGGCAAGGAGAGATAGATGTTACCTCCTCACATGGCAGAAGGGCAGGAGAGAGTGAACCCACTTGGCAAGCCCTTTTCATAGAGGCATTAATCTGTTCTTGAGGGTGAAACCTTCATGACCTAAGCACCTCCTTTAGGCTCCACCTTCTAACACTTGTTGCATTGGGAATTAAGTTTCCAGCACATGAATTTGGAGAGACATATGCAGACCATAGCAGGCATTTCAGCTTAACACCCCATCACTAATAGTGCACCTGACTTAGCAGAAGCCAGCCATATGCACATTTAAGACCAAGTGTTCTCATGAACTGACACTGAGATCAGTGCTCTGCCTGCAAACTGGCAGGTATCTATTATGTGGTGCATCCTGATTTCAGAATGTTAGGATGTGGGAAAAAATGTTTCTAAAAATTGAAGAAATATGATAAATAATTTTCTCCCTCAGTCATGGGAAACAAAGTAGATTAAAGTCTTCTGGGAAAGTTTTTTCCTTATGATTTTACAAAGCCTGGGGAAAGAGATGTGAATGGGTGACTTATGATAAGTATGCAGGTCATTTCCAGAATATTTCAGGTTTTGGTTTTAGATACATAAATAAGGAAAATCCCTCTTCTGTTACTTTATTTAATTTTTTTCTTTCAGGAATAAAAATCACCGTAAACCCCGAATCAAAGGCAGTCTTGGCTGGACAGTTTGTGAAACTGTGTTGCCGGGCAACTGGACACCCTTTTGTGCAATATCAATGGTTCAAAATGAACAAAGAGGTATTTTTAATGCCTTTTAATTCTTCTATACTAAGAATAGAGAATAATAGGAAATTAATTAACATTATTGTCCTAAATGTGGTTTTAAGACTTTGATTTAAGAGTATGAAAGACATGAGTTATTACTGAAGTATTTGATAATTATTATTTTAGTGAGATTCCAAAATTGTCTCCCAGAAAAACTGTAAACAGTAATGAAGTCAGTCCTTCACTCTAAAATTGTGGAAAATAGGAGTTATATAGGTCAACAGTGTTAGCAAGTATGAAACCTCATCAGTACATTCTTACATATCTATTCAAAACTCTGCAACAGATTAGATCCCAACCAAAATCTTGTTATTTTTTTTTAAGACAGTTTTACTCTGTTGCCCTGGGTAGAGTGTTGTGGCATTATGCTCACAGCAACATCAAACTCTTAGATTCAAGCGATCCTCTTGCCTTCATTTTTTTAGTAGTTTTTCATTTTTAATAGAGTCTCACTCTTGCTCAGGCTGTTCTCAAATTCCTGAGCTCAAGCAATCCACCCACCTTAGCCTCCCAGAGTACTGGGATTACGGGCGTGATCCACCACACCCAGCCTCAACCAAAATCTTTAAAAGATTTTCAAGGCTACATGGAAAGCTAATGGCATATTATTTTCTTGAGAATTTCATATGATGGTATTATGTCAAAAGACTGTGGTCATTGTGCTAGATTCTGAAGTAAAATTCAGGTTGGCAGAGAGGGGCACTCCTTTTGTGGAAGAATTGTATCCCTATACCGCTCAACAGGTAATTTACAATCAAATGTTAGAATTCTCTTCTCAAAGTTCCTCAAGCCACCCTACCACTGGGGTTTCTCAGTGATCTAGCTGCGATGTGTTGTATCTTGCTCCAGGGAGATTTTCTTCTCTACTCCCTCGTTCCTCTCCCTTCATCCTCTTTGCTCCTTGGTTATACGTGAAAAGTCCATATTTAGTCATGACCTGTTGGTCACATCCTCACATTCAGCTTCCTTATAGACTTGATGCCGAGTCTCCATTTGCAAACCTAAAGCTAAATAAAAAAGCTGTTTTCAGATTATGATTTTTCCTTTAATTGGATTACCTCATGCCATAGAAAAATTTTGTGTTGCTATACATTTTTTTTTTGGTATTATACAGTTTTTTATTTCTGTCTCTTACGCTGAGGTATAAGGCAAAACAACTGTGGAAGGTAGTAAAATGATTGCATGTAGGCTTTGGCACCAGATAGGTCTGTGTTGGAACCCTGAATATGCTTACTAGCCACGTGAATGCCTATCATAGGGGATTGTGAGAATTGAGTAAACAGGATGTTTTTTGTGCCCAGGCTTTTGAGAGATAAAGTAGCTAAAAGTACTTTACCATATTTTCTCAATTGCAAAGTTGGTTTCATTTTAATAAATGCCTTTTGAAGGATAAATAATGGGGAAAACCTGCTATATTTATGTGCATTGTTTGTAAAATATGGCCTAATGGGAGAAAAGTAGAAATGTAGGGGTTGGGGAGTAAGTCTTAGATTGGAAGAGTTAGAATGGATTAAAAAGCTGTTTAGGCTAGGCGCCTATAGCTCAACCGGCTAAGGCGCCAGCCACGTACACCTAAGGTGGCGGGTTCGAATCCCCAGCCCGGACCCGCCAAAACAACAATGATGGCTGCAACCAAAAAATAGCCGGGCGTTGTGGCGGGCGCCTGTGGTCCCAGCTACTTGGGAGGCGGAGGCAGGAGACTCGCTTGAGCCCAGGAGTTGGAGGTTGCTGTGAGCTGTAATGCCATGGCACTCTACCCAGGGGGACAGCTTGAGGCTCCTGTCTAAAAAAAAAAAAAAAAAAAGCTGTTTAAAAACTGTTAAGATTATAATTGTCATGGATGTGTTAATCAGTTCAATGTAGGCATTTCACACTGTATATCAAATCAGTACACTGAACCCCATAAATGCCTCCGTGTACACAGTTATGATTTAATAAAAATTAAAAATTAAAAAAAAAAGCTCTTTAACAAGTCAAGTTTTGTCAAACCACTGTCATGTTCATAAGCCTATCTTAGGAGAGTTTTATTTAACAGGTTTTGGTTGAGCAGCTGTTTTATGCCAGATGGCGTTCTAAGGCCAGATGATGCAGCAGTGACCACCAGGTCTCAGTACCTCTCAGTACCTACGCCAGGCCAAGAGCATCACACTCCAGTGGGGGGAAACAGACAGACAGTAAACAAATACAGTCATTTCTGGGAATGAAGATAAATGAGGAAAACCAACCGGGTAGTGATGTAATATGTGAAGCTACTGAAGGTTTTAAGCAAGGGAGGTAATGTGATAGGATTTATGTTTTTAAAACACAAATTTGCTGCTTGAAAGAAGCAGAGAACTGTAAGACCAGCTATCTCTAATACTTGTGCTGACTAGAAATAGCAGTAGTGTGGACTAGGGGATGACAGTAGGGGTGGATCACAGGGCATGGTTCGGTGTGTGTTTAACCAAACTAGCAGATTAGATGTGAGCATGAGGAGAAAGGAGGAAACCCTTCATTTTTCACTTGAGCATCAGGGACACGTTGAAAATTAAAGAGGAACAGATTTAGGGAGAAAAGTCAAAAGTTTAACTTTAGGACATGTTGAATTTGAAGTGCTCTTGCACACATCTGGATGAATCAGCTAGGCAGTTTGGGCATCTGGGGAGGTAAAATTGAGAGTTATGTAGTGGAGCAGGAGCCAGCAAAGAGATAAGTAAAAGGAATCTTCCAGAGAGATAGGAGGAAAGCCAAGAGAAGTCTAAAGAGGAGAGTATTTCAAGAAGAAAGAGGTATCCAGCTTCTTCAGTAGAAACTTTTTTTAGTTTATTTAAGATACAAGGTACTAGAGTATATTTAGTTTTTGAGAATAATATAGTAAAAGAGAGAAATAGATGTTAAAGCAAAGAGAGAAACAATTGTAAGAGCAAGGTCAGAGAGGATGGAATTTGAGAGGAGAAAAGCCTTTCCTCCAGCCTCATAGGTTCAGTGCCAGAGAGCCTGTGAATTAACCAGCAAAACCCAGATTAACAGGAGAAAAAGTTTACTCATATGCATACAGGAGTTTACCAGAAACTCAGTAGGGAAAAGGCAGGTGTGGGAGGACCCTCTGTGGGAAGAATAAATAGGTTTTTTCTGGAAAGACAAAGGCTTTTCTAGAAGAGTAGGAGGAAATGGGAAAGTTTGCGATAGTGTTTGTTGGCACAAGTGCCAGTAATGATTCCTTTTCTTCATGGCCATACACTCTCTAGAGGGGACTTAGAGTAGTTTTACTCTTGGTCTCTTTTCTAGGAGTAAAAGTTGCCCCAAGAGGAAATTTATGGCAGCCTTGTTACCCAGAACTTTCTGCGTTTAGTCAGATAAGGAAAGCCTGAGAAGATTTCTTTCTGCATCTGTTGAATCTCAGGTCTTCACTTTAATGAAGTCTTCATACCAACCCTGTGAATCTAAGTGGATCCCTACAGATCATTAGCTCAGTGGCCTTTGTTAGGAAGAGGCATCTTCCATTTTAACAGGAGGGAAGAGAGCAGCTCTAAATAGGTACAGACTTGGGTAGGCCTGTGATTTGGTGGCAGGGAAGGGAGATAACTTTTATCTGAAGTCATTGCCTGAGAGAAGGAGGATTGCTGAAGGTTTGAGGAGACAGAGAGTATGTGTCAGTGATCTAGTAGGAGAACAGACACAAGATTGTTGAGCATCTCTAAATGCAGCCAGTCAGCTCAGTGTCACGTCTTCAGCAGACCCACCCTGCCTGCTCTGGGGTAGGTGCTGAGAGGGGAGGGAGTTGTTTTCAGCTGGCTGGGGATTGGAGCATGCTAGTTGAAATACAGGTTGAATATTCTTATCTGAAATGCCTAGGACTAGAAGTGTTCTAGATTTCAGATTTTTTCAAATGTTGGATTATTTGCATTATATATTTATTGGTTTATCATCCCAAATCCAAAAATCCGAAATTAAAGGTGCTTCAGTGAGCATTTCCATTGAGCACTATGTCAGCATGCAAAAAGTTTCAAATTTGGGGTCATTTTTGGTTTTGGGTTTTTAGATTTGTGATACCCAACCTGTCCTTTCAAAAGAGTTTATTGTAATATAATGAGGCACTTGGATAAGCCCCCCTTGGCAATGTGCCAAACTTGGGTGTAGCTGATAAATTGCTGGGAACAAAAAAAGTGAAAGAAACCTTACTGGGGTGATGGAATCCAGGGAAGAGTTTGGGATCCCGTGAGTGGCTTCTCACCTCCACTGCTGATAGCTTTCCATAGCTCTTCTCAGCCCACATCTTAAAAATTTAGTTGAGGCCTCTTATCCTTTTAGAGAATTTTACAGATCATAAAGTGAGATCTCAAAGAAAAATAACTACTTGTCTGTGTAGTCTCAGCTAATTTGGTCAGAGCTGAGAGTCACAGCTAGGTCTCCCTCTCTGTATTTTCTACACACCATTGTGGGGTTGTCCTGTATTGTGGCTGCTTAACTCACAGATGTGATTATAAATCCTTCTAAAACTCAATGGTTGAACTTTCTTAAATGACAGATGAGTTTTTCTGTTAGCGAGCTTTTGGAAGATTTGGGGGGAAAGCTTAGCTGTGGTTAATGGATTTATAAAAGATTGTGAATTTTTTAATACTTTAGTTATAAGTAACTCAAAATACTGTTTATTTTTTTAACTCCTAGATATTTTACAAATTGTGAAAAAAGGCATACTTTCATGGCTTCCTACTGAAATCATAGACTTTTCACAGCATATTTTATAAGCCATGTTGATAAGACTTACTCTCTTATTGATTCTTTTACAGATTCCATACGGAAATACGTCAGAACTTATTTTTAACTCGGTGCATATAAAAGATGCAGGGTTTTATGTCTGCCGAGTTAATAACAATTTCACCTTTGAATTCAGCCAGTGGTCACAACTGGATGTTTGTGATGTCACGGACGTAACAGAAAGCTTCCGGGGTAAGTAATAAAAAGAAGTTGAATGTTGGGATGAGGATTGTTTTATTTTATCTTATTTTAAATGTTTACTTTTAAGTAATTTCAGAATATCAAAAATAGTGCCAAAAGCTCACATATGTACTTCATCCAACATAGTATCAACAGCTGTTAAAGTCTGATCCCATGTTCTTTGTGTCTCTGTATGTGTGCACATACACACGGATGTGTGTGCAGATCCCTCAGGATGGTGTGGACCCTCCTGAGGCTGGTTCCTGCCACTGACTCTTCCAGCTTGTCTTCCTTCTCGGCCTATTGTCTACCCTCACACGTGGCACCTGTATGTTAGCAAGCTTAGTTTCTTCCTGCCACTCCCTGCCTTGCTTATTCACAGTTCCATGTCTTTGCATCACTTCTTTGTTTGAATGGCTTTCCTGCTTAGCATAATCTTCTGACTCTTTGAAGCCTTGGCTTCCTCTTCTGCTCCCTTGGCATTCTGATTTTGCCTCTCTTACAGAATTTATTGCATCACTTTTAAAGCTATTTGTCTGCCTAGCCGTCTGAGTTGTATAGGGATAAGGAGTGGTTCATAGTTCCTTTTTCTCTTTGCTAGTTCTTAAAACAAAGCTTGGCATGTAGCGGTCACTCTTCAGTTATGCAATTCACTGAACACCTTCATGAGGAATAGTCTTGGGCTTAGGTCTTAGGTGTTAAAGCTGTTTTAAACCAAGCATTAGAGCACGCCCCTGACCTAGATTCTTCACAGAATGATCAGGAAGGAAAATTATCTGTTATAATAGAAGGCAGAAAGAGTTCCTCAGCGTCTTCTTTGCTACCACTCTCTTCCTCACAGAAGTCAATCTTTTGAACATACTTCTGTAATCTAGTTCTTGTCAGGACTATCTGCCTTTTAAGCTAAATTTCTGAGGAGAAAGTCTGGGTCTTAATAATCTTTGATGAAACCAAACACTTAAATAACCAGTAGGTACTCAGTAGATGTTTGTTGAAAGAATGAAGAACCAGGGTAAAATCTGTTTCAAAAGGCAGAGATGGATATATTTCCATCAAGAACATTTAATATTTTTACATTTAAGGCACATATTCAAGGTTTTCTAAAAATCTCCAAAGGGTTCATTGTAGCCAAAACTTACTTTTCCTTATTTAAGAAAAAAATGGTGAAATTAACATCTTGGAAAACTTCTGCTTCTCTAAGTTACTCAGGAGTGCTGAATACTATCGTTGTAAAAAGTAGAGTGCTGGAGAAGCACGACGAATTCAAGACCTGATAGTCTTTGATTTCTATAATTAGGGTGTGAGTCAAGTAGAGGTCAGTTTGTTACAGATTTGAATGTTGTGGTCTCTGGTGTGGGAGGAGAAAAAACTCTCATCTAACATAGTCTTGCTGTTCACTTTTCAGTTCCTTTCTGTAACTTTTTTTCTTCCAAACTGTTGTGTTGCCCCAAAACATGCTGTTGTGGAAACTCTCAGCAGTAAAGGCCACGTGGTGTATCATTCACTACAACAAAACACTTAGACTACTTCTCTACTCCCTGCTCCATCTTTTCAGTCCTGTCATCAGGACCTGATTTTTTGACGAAGATAAAAAGCCAGGGTGGCTCCTGTGACTCAAGGAGTAGGGTGCTGGCCCCATATACCAGAGGTGGGAGGTTCAAACCCAGCCCCTGGCCAAAAACTGCAAAATAAAAGATAAAAAGCCAGTCTGAAGAGTAGCCATGAGATATTGTTTTGTTTATTCACATGCGCACTCAAAACCATATTCTTTGTTGTGTTTCCCAGACAAAACAAAGAGGGAAACTAACTCTTTGTTTTAAAAAAGTCAATCTTTCTTGCATACTTCTCTCTCACTTGAGCTTTTTTTAAAACTCAAATAAATAAGGGTTCTTGACAATAAAAGAATGTACCATTTTCTTTAAGGAAAAAATATCTCATTTACCTCTATCAATTTTATTTAATTTCTTTCATGCTATATTTATATACAGTATGATATCCAGATCCTAATTGTATACCCCATCAGAATGTAGAACGTGTTTGTTACTTGTGTTCTCATGTGACTTTCTCACCTGTAGTCACTCTTTCACCACAAATTGATTTAAGTTTTGCTTGTTTTAGAACTTCTGATAGTCATATATGTACATTTTCATTTATTTATTTTGAGACAGAGCCTCAAGCTGCCACCCTGGGTAGAATGCTGTGACATGACAGCTCACCAGCAACCTCCAACTCCTGGGCTTAAGCAATTCTCTTGCCTCAGCCTCCCAAGTAGCTGGGACTACAGGCGCCTGCCAAAATGCCCGGCTATTTTTTGATTGTAGTTATCATTGTTCAGTAGGCCTGGGCTGAATTCAATCCCGCCAGCTCTGGCATATGTGGCTGGCGCCTTAGCTGCTTGAGCTACAGGTGCCAAGCCACATTTTTATATCTAGCTTCTTCCATTCAGTGTAATTTTTAAGACTTATTCATGTTGTTAGGTGCATCAGCTGTCCTCTCTTTCTGCTGAGTAATAATGCATTGTGTAAATCGGCTAGTTTGTTTATCCATTCTGTTATTGATAAACAGTTTGTGTGCAGTTTTGGGGTATCATGGATAAAGATGCTACAACATTCTCTTATAAACCATTTTTTGAACATGTATTTTTATTTCTCCTAGATAATTTTACCTAGAAGTGGAATTGCTGAGTCACATAGTAGATGTATGTTTAATTTTCTTTAAAAACTACCATGTAGATTCCGAGATAGTCTTACTATTTTGTATTATCACTTGCATCTTGGAAAAGCCTCTCATCTGAGGGTGACTGAGATCATTGGTCACACTAATGCCAGCTCACACTCTGCACTTAAAAATGGGTAAATTGTTCAGCTGGCTTAGCCTTCTTTGTCTATTCAGTTCTAAAGGCATGGCCAAGCAAGGTGGATATTTGAGTAGTGGTGGGGAGGTGTCTGTGATGGCCCAGAGTAGGATATCAAAGCCCAGATAAGGTGTCTTTGTGGGAGTGGGACCTCGTCTTCAGAAATAATCATGATTGATTAGAAGAGCAATTTATTTCTTTCTAGACTATTTCTGTGCATGTAATAAACTTTAATGTATTTATAAGTGAAATCATATTCATTCAACAAATATGATCATCTGCAATGTGTTAGACATTGAGTTTCATAATGGAGACTGGGTACTGCATCACATTGACAAGCCCTGTAACCTCACGGGACTTGAAGAGTAATAAATGAATATTTAATAAATGATTTCTGACATCTGCCTAGGGAAAAAATGTTAGGGACAACCTATCCATATATATTCAGTGCTGAAAATAAAATTTCTTATCTTAGTTAAGTCAAGAGAGTGTAGAGCTTGGCTCGGCACCTGTAGCTCAGCAGCTAGAGCGCCAGCCACATATCCCAGAGCCAGTGGGTTCAAACCTAGCCAGGGCCTACCAAACAACGACAGCTACTACAACAACAACAAATAGCCAGGTGTTCTGGCACGCACCTTTAGTCCCAGCTACTCGGAAGGCTGAGGCAAGAGAATCTCTTAAGCCCAAGAGCATGAGATTGCTGTGAGCTGTGATGCTATGGCACTGTACCGAGGGCAACATAGTGAGACTCTGTCTCAAAAAATAAAAAAATAAAAAATGTAGAGCTTTCCATGCTGACCATGAATATCATTCAAGATGTTAATAAGTTATTTGCTCCATCAGAAAGACTCTGTAGCCAGACACATTTGGGAAATATTTGAACTGTGTTCCCCTCTTTAATTCACAATGCATACTAACACTTTGAAAACTTTGAGAAGTTCCTACAATGAAAAAATGAAGAATATCTCTTAATATTTCTGCGAATGCTATACTTTTGTGAACCTTAGTTTGGGAATGTTACTAAAGATTGTAACAACAATGAAGGTGTTGGCTCGGCACCCATAGCTCAAC